CTGCCGGAGGTTTGCACCCCAGGCCCAGTGCAGAGCGCTTTCATGTTTCCTGCTGCAGTCACCCTGTCCCCTCTTCGCCAATGGCCGCCTTCTCTTCTCCTCTTTCGACTCGGGTTTTGCTGTTGGAAGGAGCCCTGCTGCCATCTCCTCAGGCTGGGCGTTGCAGGGTGCTTGAACGCTTCGGCGGTGTTCACGCAGATTTATTCGTGCTCCCTGTCGAAGCACACATCCCCGTTTCTCACCAACGGGGACCTGCGGGAGGGAGCTGTTCCCCTCCGAAAGGAGCTTTGAGGCAAAGCGGAGCGCCTGGCGCTTCCCTGGCATGAAGGCGGGCGACAACCATTAATAGGAAAAGGCATTTTAACGCGGGCTGCCTGCGAAGATTATCTTTATAAATATTGCTCATAGTGCTGCCGGAGGCTGTTCCTGCGGCCAGGCGGTGGGTCGGGCTCTGCTCCCCATGAGGGTGTTGCAGGAGACCCTTGTTGGGCTTCCATGGCGTGGTAGATGCAAGACGGTGCTGCTAAGGGGTTTTTTTCCTCAAAAAATCTATTTCTGATTATTATTTGGGTGTGGGGGTGTAAAAAAAAAAACAGCTGCTCCTTGTTGGCAGTACACACAAATGCGCTGCCTTGATGTCCTCCTGCTTGGCCAAGGATTTGGAGGTGGCGACGTTGGTGGGGGATGCGTCCCCATCAGCTGCTCAGACATCGCCGGGGCGTACGGAGGCGGTGGAGCCTGCAGCCCCACGGCAAGACTGTCTGTTCGCTTCCTTCAGGAGCACGGAGAGCAGAATATTGCTTTTTAACTGCCTTTTTTACTAGTAAGCCTTGGGAAGAGATCAAAGAGCATTTAAATTTACTTCACTCGGGTCTTGGGGCGGTTTTAGCGTTGCAGCAAGAGGCCTCAGCCGTAAAACCTCAAGCAGGGGGAGATGTAACCTCCTTATTTCTAGACGTACATCAACCACCCGAAATCCCAACCCCTCCAACATGTTTTATTGAGTAGAGCAAGTAGCGCTGCGGTTACTTCGGCGTTGCATAAGACAGGCACGGGCTTATTAAAAAAAAAAAAAAAAACACACCAACCACCCTCCAGTTCTCAATTCGTTGTAGTGAATTTATTTTTCCATGCTCAGGAGCACTTGTGATGGTGAGTAACTCGCCTGGAATTTTAACTTTTGGCCATGGAAAGGGAAGCACTCGCCATCGGGCATCGGCATGAGCCGCTCTGCCCTGCTCCTGCTTAGGAACAAATAATTTTAATTTTTTTTTTTTTTTTTTAGCGACTATGTTCCTGGAACAATGGAAGCGTTTGCAGATGAGATTGAGTTACTTCTGGGATCTAACTGGACTAGAGGAAGAAGAAGTAAGTTTCCTCTTCCTGTGCTAATTTACTGTATAAATTATTCTTTATATGCA